AGGGCTGTTGGCAGACAGCTGGTGCTGTGCCAGGTTTGGCTTTGAGGGTGTCCGATGGAGTGGGTCAGGGAGGAGATCTAAGCCTGGAGGAGAGAGAGCTTCCTCTGGGTTCCTGAGCTCAGGGCTCCTGTCTTTCTCGGGAGCCCAGGGAAACCTCCTTCAAAAGCCCCTGTTCTCCTGGCCTTGAGTAGGGGTGGGCGTTTGGGAGCAAAATAACTTTTGATTCTGGCTCCTTTAGGAATCCTATGCCAACGTGAAGCAGTGGCTACAGGAGATCGACCGCTATGCCAGTGAGAATGTCAATAAGCTCCTGGTGGGCAACAAGAGCGACCTCACCACCAAGAAAGTGGTGGATAACACCACAGCCAAGGTGGGTGGGGCCTGGGTCGGGCCACCCAGGGTGGGCTGGGCTCTGCTGCCCCTCACCCCTCCTTTCCCTCCTCTTCTCTCTTCTTCCCTTGTCAGGAGTTTGCAGATTCTCTGGGTATCCCCTTCCTGGAGACGAGTGCCAAGAACGCTACCAATGTCGAGCAGGCATTCATGACCATGGCTGCTGAGATCAAAAAGCGGATGGGGCCTGGGGCAGCCTCAGGGGGTGAGCGGCCCAACCTCAAGATCGACAGCACCCCTGTGAAGCCAGCTGGTGGTGGCTGTTGCTAGGAGGGGCACGTGGGGTGGGACAGGAGGGGGCACCTTCTCCAGATGATGCCCCTGGAGGGGACAGGAGGTGCCTCCCTCTCCTGGGGCATTTGAGTCTGTGGCTTTGGGGTGTCCTGGGCTCCCCATCTCCCTCTGGCCCATCTGCCTGCTGCCCTGAGCCCTGGTTTTGTCACGGCCCCCAAGGGAGGACACCCAGGACCTTTGGCTGGGGTGGGGATGTGGGCTTGCTCTGCTGCTGCCTCTAGGTAACTTTAAAAGCTACCCTCCCACACACCTTTCCTTGGGATGAGGGCTCCTCTTGTTTCCCTTCCTTGCCCCCCATGTATGCTGCAGTGGGTTTCTTTCCTTACCCCTTTACCTTCTCCCCCCACTTCCCTTCCCCAAGAGCTGGGAGCCTCCCTGGCCTCTACAGTCCCTGGCTGCAGTCAGCGCCGGGGGCCAGGAAGGGACCAGGGGATCCAGGACCCAGAATCCAGGGCCCTGGGCTGGACCTCAGGAAGGGCATGGGGGCCATAGGGGCCCAGCAGCCCACCGTTGCCTCTCCTCCCTGCCTCTCTTCCCCGCCCTTTCCATACTCACAGCTCCAGCCGTCCAGCTGCGGTGGGGTCTGAGCACATCTAGAGCAGGTGGGCGGGCAGCCATGCTGGGCCTGTGTCTTGAGCCCAGAGGGAGCCTGCTCTTGCCACCCCCTGCCCTGCCAGAGCCAGGCCCATGTGCTGCCTGCCCACCGTGCCCCTTTGTCCCCATGGCAGGCAGAGGCGGAAGGCCCACCGTGCCAGAGGCCAGGCACCAGCCTTAACCCTCACTCTGCCAGCACCTCTTCCCTTTCCCCGAGGCAGCACATCTGGCTTGTTCTCCCCCTTCTGTTCTTTGGAGCCTATGAGGGCAGGTCCTCATACCCTGTCACCACTACTCCTCCGGGGAATGTGGGTGCAAACCCAGGGTCCGGGGCCTCTCCCCTCACCCCCTCCCACCCAGGATCCTAGCTCCCAGCCCTCTGGCACAGCTTCTTCCTGCAGAAAAAACAAACCTTGGTCTCTACCTGAAAAGCCATGTACCTTGTGCTGTCTCTCGCCTGTCCCACCTGTGCCCTACCCTCCAGCTTGTATTTAAGTCTCTGGGGTGCCCCCACTCCCAGTTTCCCCACTCTGGTGTCATGTCAGGCATTTTGCAAGGAAAAGCCACTTGGGGAAAGACAGAAAGGACAAAAAAATAAATAAATTTCCACTGGCCCTCGGGTGAGCCGAGGGTTTTTGCAAGGAAGTTGTGGTGGTTGAGTGTGGTCTGTGGTGGGAGCTGTCTTGGGGTGGGAAATGGAACTGGGGCCCTGGGCTTGGCTGGCTGTGCAGGGGTCCTCGCTTGGGCTGTGTGTCCTAGGGTTGCTGTTGAAAGTCCTTGACCCACTTCCTAAAGCCAGGAGTGCTGCCTGCTTTTGCTTCTGTGGGATGTCCCCACGGGGCCCAGCACGGTTCCGGCAGCTGGGGAGCGGGCGGCCATCAGCGAGTACCTGGTGAGCCGCGGCCAACACCCACACAGGCGCACATCCATTCGGCCTGGGAGGTCGGGCTGCAGACGTACCCATCATGCCTGGCCCGCATCCCCTTCTGCCCCCTCTCCCACCTATGCTCCGGGTTCAAGCCAGGTGTCCCTGCCCCCCTCGGACAGTGCCAAGTTCCTCCCACTTAGGACCTCAGCCTGGCCTCCCAGGCCATTGTGCAAAATACAGTATGTGAGGGTAGGGGTGTGTGTGTGCTCCTCCGAGTGGACCGAACTCGTGTGGCGCGGGGGGTGGAGGCGGGCGCTGCCAGGGATGTGCGTCCATGCCTACGTGTCCCTGAGGTTGGGGCGGGGGTGGCGCCCGGGCCGGGCGGTGCATGCGGAGGGGCGCACGGAGACCCGGCCCCGCCCG